AAGGAGTATTCATCTAAAAATGAGGAATACAATGTTTATTAAATCTGAATTTACCTAAACTATCTTGTCCCCGCTCAAGACTGAGGGATTTGCAAATGCAGCACTATCTGCTTTTATAATATCCTGTTTCAGACCCCCAGAGTGGCACCTAGAAGTCTTCAGTCTTTGTCCCACACCTTCCAGGAAGTCATCCCCATGACACTGCCCACTAAGCACATGCAATCATATCATGGGATCTCACCCTTCCAGAATTAGAGATCTGATAAACATCCTGAGCAGCAAGTGGAATTGCCCCTTAAGAGATAAAGACTTCTCTGAAGCTCCCTCACAGAACCAGACTGAAATAATGATCAATCAGACCACAGTTGACCCAGATTGCTTAACTGGGTATACCTCTTGCCCAATCCTTAACTCGTTTAAACCTAACCCTCCTGCCAGCACCCTTAAGACACTGCTGAATGCTGCTCTCAAACTTTGTATTCACAATATGAACATATTGATTAGTTTACTTTCCTGCCTTTCACCATTACTTTTTCTGCTTGTTTTGGGGGGCAAATGGCCAAACACTGTTTATTGGAATTCCCAAAGTCAGGCCTCTGGCTAGAATTTGGGTAACATGGTCAATGGAGAAAGACTCTCTGCTCGAGAGACCAAGCAAACTTTAGTTTGCTCTTCTCAATTCTGGTTTGATTAGGCCTCAATCAACTTTGGCTTCCATCCTGTCTTTGGCCTGACTACACCAGTCTTTGCAAACAACTCCCACTTGTCAAGGTTGGTTTTTTTGGTTCATTTTGTTTTTGGTACCAAGGATTGAACCTGGGGTGCTTAACCATTGAGACACAACCTCATTTCTTTATTTTTCATTTTGAGAAAGGGTCTTGCTGATTAGGGCCTAAGTTGCTATGGTTGGCTTTGAACTTAAAATCCTCCTGCCTTAGCCTCCTGAGCTGCTGGGATTACAGGTGTGTGCCTGTGACCAATTCATGTCAGTTTAACAGGAATCCCCCACCCTTGATATTTGGTAAGTTTCTCGTTCCTCACTTGATGTCTTCCTCATCCAGGGTGTTCAGGTATTAGGACCTGTTTTATTCTTCCTCAACATAGAGTTGGACCAAAAAGTTTTGCTTATTTATATTGACTACACCCTGGTATTCCTATCCATCTTTGCTCTGGCTGCCCTGAGCAGCCTCTTCCCAAAGAGAGAGCCTTTCTTGAGCACCAAGCCATCTGAAAATCGGTGCTTCTCCCCAAGTCATTTCTTTGCCTTACACTTGAAAGTAAATCCCTGTCCTGAATTTTGACTATAGGAGTTAACTAATCTCCAAAGATGGCCCCCGATAAGAACCATCTCTTTCAATACAGCAGAATCAATGCTATCTGATTCCCAAAGCTGGCTTGTAAGATTTGCATCCTCTACCTAGGTCTCTTGGAATGCTTGCTCTTGGATCACTCCATCTCAAAAACCAACCACCCATCTGTGAGAAGCCCAAGCCCCAAGGATGAGCAACTGAGCTCTCAGGCAGCAGTCATCATCAACTGCCAGTCATCTTGGACATCCAGTACAGTTGAGCCTTCAGCCTCAGCTGTCATGAGAATAGAAATCAACTGAACAGTAAGAACTGCTCAGTTAAGCCCCCAAATATTAATATTGATAGATATTAATAAGGTGTTTAGACAACAAATTTTGGGATGACTTCTTAGAGATGGATAACCAGAATACTTTCTCAATCATTTCATGTTTTTAACAACTTTACCATATGTATGTACCACCTAATATAAACTTAATTTTGCAATAAGTTTCATCATACTATGTATTGTTTCCTATAACTTTTAAAAAATTCAACGTTTTTGCCAAATTCATCCATATTTTTAGTTTCAGTTCATTTTCACTGTTCTGTGTTAATATTCAAAATTTACCCATTCTCCTATTAATGGACAAACTATTTAAAATTATTCCATTATTCTCTGTATCTGTAAGTATGTATATATTCACACAGTGAAGCCTCTATGAAATGATATGAATATGTTTCACATTGCAAGATGTGGAGCCAACCTAGATGCCCTTCAGTGGATGGATAAAAAAAAGTGGCATACACAATGGAATGTTACTCAGCAATAAAGGAGAATAAAATCATGGCATTTGCAGGTAAATGGATGGCACTGGAGAAGATAATGCCAAGTGAAGTTAGCCAATCCCCCCCCCAAAAACAAATGCTGAATGTTTTCTCTGATATAAGGAGGCTGACTCATAGTGGGGGGGGGAGCATGGGAGGAATAGATGAATTCTAGATAGGGCAGAAGGATGGGAGGGAATGGGAAGGAGCAGGGGATTAGCAAGGATGGTGGAATGTGATGGACATCATGACTCGAAACTATATGTACGAAGACACGAATTGGTGTCAACATAGTTTATGAAAAACTGTGCTGCATATGTGTAATAAGAATTGTAATGCATTCTGCTCATTCATTTTTAAAAAAAATCAATAAAAAGGTAAATACATAATAAAAAAAAGATGTCAATGATCATACATTCCTTCCAGTACAGGATGAATTAGTTATTCTACATAAATCCCAAACTTCTGTACTGTTATTACACATCTTAATTTTTTCTCATTTGTAATTGTTATAGTACATCAACGGTAAATTTTAAACCTCTAATAAAGTCACTATCATTTCATGATTTTGGAAATTGGTGTTTTCTCTTCTGTAGTTATGTATCCACATCACTTTTTCCTATTAAATGTTAATTTGTAAAAATTATTTGAACTTTTTTGGATTATAATAGTCCATGAGCATACTGCTTAAAGATCTGTTTTGTGTCATGATTTTTCATCCCTTTTTTGGTATATTTTGGTAAGCAATTCTTTGATATGAGCAAATATATCAAAAACTTCACACAGTTCATTTGTTTTAGGAACTCCTTTCCTGCCTCAAGGCCATCTAGTTATTTCTTACATGTTCTTATGAAAGTTATAATTTTGCCTTTTGTACAACTGTTATGTGAGGGGTAGGGTTCAAGTTGTTGTTTGTTTTTTCTGGGGGAACCATTTCTATGTCCTATAGCATTACTGAACAGTTCATTCTTTCTCCTATTCCTTCAGTTATGTTTTTAATATTTTAACACTTCTGCATGTTTTCAGTAAATAAACCAAAATTCATCATGATGCTATTAACCAATTAAATCCTAAGTTCCCAAGTCTGTGAACATAATAAATATTCGAGTATTATTTCAGTTACCATAAGGGGTACATTAATTGCTTGATATAAGTTTTTATAGTTGTTCTGTATCCGGAATGATTGGACAAAATGGGTTTAGGTACTTTCGGTTACTTTTGCTAAGCTTTTGTTTAGCATTTTTTACATCTCTTCATGGATAACAACAACTTGCAATTTTCCTTTTTCGCATTTTCCTTGCCTAATTTTGGTTCTGGGTTATATTAGAATTATTGTGCTTACACATTATCTTTTCTGGAAGATTGTAAAACTTAATATTACTTAAAAGTTTAATCAATCTTGCTTGAAAAATAACAGGGCCATATGTTATCTTTGTGGGATTTTAAATTCAGATTTAACTTCCTTGATGATTTTAAGTCTATTAATACTTAAGAAAGATATGTTTTCCTGGAAATTTTCCTACTTTAGGTAATTAGAAATAAATGAATATTCGTGGGGAAAGAAGTACTTGCAGATAGAGCATTAAATGGCCTGGAAAATTGCTCCTTACATGTCTGAAACAATGACACTCACTATTCCCAGGAGGCAAAAGCTGAATATACTGATATCTACTCTGCTTGTTTTCCATTCCAAATATCACATTTTCAATTTTTTTTTAAGTTTGGAGAAACTTAAAAGAGATGAAGACTTGAAGGAATTTAGCATATTGGTTTGTGAAGTTTACTAATATGACTCATTTTTTATAAATGCTGAAATGGGCTAAATTGTCAATGTTTTAGAGGAAAAAAATCTGAAACAAAAACTGAATGTTTGCCCAGTGGGGAGGGAGTGAGCTTTCTCTGATGGGAGCAAAAGTGGAATATAAGATTGAGTCACCTGGTTCACTTTATCTCCTTGAGTTCCACATTGGTCCTGGGTTTTTATGGTGATTGAAACCAGAGAGCTCAAGGAAGCAGGCACAGCCAGGAAACTAAGAGTTGTTTTCCCTATGGCTACAATGTGATATAAAGTTCTAACAACACTGACAAGTAAATTAAATTGCAAAAGCAGCAGTTGTCTGAATAACCTTTACTTCACAATACAGAAAAGGTAATCACTTTCTGAGAAAAACAAGTGAAACACCATACACTTTGTGACTTAAAATAAAATGACTTTATATCTGAATCAGAGGGTGAAACAAGTAGTTGGAAAGAAAACTAAAAAGAACGTACCTGCATAGATTACAGAGTAATTTTCCCCTCGGGTAAATGGCTTAGAAGATTTGAGAAATGACCCAAAGTTTGAACAACAACCAAGTACATAATTTGTTTTCCAAATATGAAAAAACAAATTTTAGTGACAGTGAGGTAGCTACAGTTTACCTGTGTACATTTTTGTTCCCAAATATTCATTCTGGTACAACTGGCTTGTGTAATACTTTAATGCAGTTTCAAGAAGTAGACTGTTAGATTTGTCTGAAGTCTGGGCTTTATGGCTGTACTTTTACCTAAACCAGCAGGTTCCCAGTAATGCCTGCGAAAGCTGATGGCTGTTAAAACATAACTAGAAAGCAAATAAAATATTATCAACCCTTCAATCTCACAGAGTCTATTTCAGTCAGTAACAACTTAAGAACATACAAAAAATCATTTTACAGAAGCTTTCCTAATATTCCCAAGGTTACCCTGCAACATGAAGTGTCCAGGTGCTTGATGTCATCTAACTTCCGAAGTTTTACTCAAAATTAACGGCTCTTCGCTTTCTCTCCAGAATGAATGATATTCAATATGAAATGAACTTCATTTGGAAGACTTGCCACATGCATTTTATTTATATTTTTTCTCAATTATGAGTCCTCTGATGATTAGTAAGAGATGAGCTCTGACTAAAAGCTTTCCCACATTCTTTGCATTTATAAGGCTTTTCTCCTGTGTGAATTCTCATATGTGTCATAAGGGATGAACTTTGTCTGAAAGCTTTCCCACACACTTTACAGTTAAATGGTTTCTCTCCAGTATGAATTCTCTGATGCTGAATTAGGGCTGAGCTTTGGTTGAACGCTTTTTCACAGTCATTACATTTATAAGGTTTCTCGCCAGTATGGATTTTTCGATGGGTATTAACAGCTGAGTGGGAACTAAAAGCTTTTCCACATTCCTTACAATGATATGGTTTCTCTCCAGTGTGGATTCTGTGATGGATATTAAGGCGTGAGATCCAGGAGAAGGCCTTGCCACACTCATTACACTTGTAGGGTTTTTCTCCAGTGTGAATCCTCTGATGTTGTATAAGTGCTGAGCTTTGGCTAAAGGCTTTCCCGCATTCTTTACATGCATATGGTTTTTCACCAGTGTGAATTCTCTGATGAATAATGAGGGCTGAATGGTAACTGAACACTTTCCCACACTCGTTACAATGAAAGGGTTTCTCTCCAGTGTGAATTCGATGGTGTCTACTCAGCCGTGATATTGAAGTGAAGGCTTTCCCACACTGACTACATTCATAAGGTTTCTCTCCAGTATGAATTCTGTGATGCTGGATGAGAGATGAGCACTGACTAAATGCTCTCCCACATTCTGTACACTTGTAGGGCTTTTCTCCAGTATGGATTCGCTGATGGTTATTAAGGGATGAACTACCTTTAAATGTTTTGCCACATTCCTTACATTTATAAGGTCTCTCTCCAGTGTGCATTCTTTGGTGCCCAATAAGAGAGGTGGTAAAACTGAAGGCTTTTCCACATTCACTACATATATAAGGTTTCTCTCCAGTATGAACTCTCAGGTGCTGTGTCAGGGATGAGCTTTGGCTGAAAGCTTTCCTACATTCCTTACATTTATAGAGCTTCTCTCCAGTATGGATCCTCTGGTGTTTGCTCAAGGAAGAACTGTGGAGGAAGATTTTCCCACAGATATTACATTTATAACATTTACGCACTGTGTTGGCTCCCAGTTGTTTAAAGAGAATTGAATACTGCTGTGAACGGGGTTTCCTTCCTCTGGGAACAATTCCAGGTTTTCTAGTAAGTGATGATTTTAAGCCAAGATTTTTCTCAAGTTCAAGGACTTTAAAGCTTCTGTCTTTCACACAGGTTTTTTTGATGGTAAACAACACTTTTCTGAAAACTTTGTTCTTTTTCCCTTGTTGCTTCTCTAACTTGTCCTCATTCATGTAGACTTTTCCCAATCTGAAATCATCAACTATGAGTTTTTCCATGACTTCCAGATTTTCTTCTTTGGAAACTGTGGTTTCAAACAAGTTCTCCCATCCTATAGTAAGCAAATAAAGTAATCAAAAAAGTTTAGTCTCTTTTGCACTAAGAATAAAGAAAAGTGACATCAAAATACAAAAGGATAGTTAATATAAATATAGCCTTGAAATCTTAGGAAAGGATGGGAATAAAGACTAGAGGAAAAAGCAGGATAATAGACATGTCTGGAAGAAATCTATAGGACGGTGGCTTGAAGTACTCAGAGGGAAGCACCTTCAATGGGAGGAAGAACCTGGATTGATCTAGTACCAAAGCCCAGGTTATCAGGAACAGGGTATTTCTGAATACGTCCTGTATTATTATTGTACTTCATATCCCAGGTCAGCCTGGATAAATTTCATATCCCAGGACATTCAGATAAATTTCAAGAGAAAAAGACGTGAAGGCACCACCTCCCCTAAGGAGCTCTGTAAAACACAGGGTTTCATTAGTGCCACTGTGGGAAGTGTCAGAGTGCAATAAATAATATTGCAACAGATATTAGCTTACTCAATCAGTAATTTCTGAATGTGTGCCTGCATCATGTAAAGATCAAGTCTCTGGAAATTACAGGGAGCAGGTCAGATGGAGCCCACTCTCACAAGGCTTATACCTAGCGGTGGGATATTGACAATGACAAAGTAACCAACTATAGGGCTGGAGATGTGGTTCAAGTGGTAGCGCACTCGCCTAGCATGCGTGAGGCACTGGGTTCAATTCTCAGCACCATATAAAAACAAAATAAAGATATTGTGTCCACCTAAAAATAAATATTTAAAAAAATAACCAACTCTAAAAGAAATACTAGGGACTGATGAGAACCATAAACAAACCAAAATAATATTAACATTGTAAAGAGTAAGTACAGTGATATTTTAAACTGGGCAATAAATGAAATTAAGATAAAATCTAAATGCAAGAGTAGGCCACACAAAAATGTAGGTATAAAGATGAATTCAGTCAGAAGGGACAGCTAACACAAAGGCCCTAAGGCAGGAATAAGTTTTCTGTGGTCAAAACAGAAGGAAGTTGAGTGTGTCTTAAGCAGAAGAAAAAGAAAAGTGTTAATGAGGAAAAGAGGCAGGCAGAGGCTATATCACATTGACTCTCTTTTAAGATATAGTACAGAATTTGAAATTTCTTCTAAACATCATTGGGGATAGAAGGGACATGGTATGTGTTCTTTGTTTAAAAAGAACCATTCTAGTTGTATGATAAATGAGCTGTAAGTGGGGTTAAGGTAAAGAGAACAAGGGCAGGTAGAGAGAGGAGGCACTCTGAAAGCTGCTAAAGTCTTCCTGGATGGAAGGTGGCATTGGCAGGTAGTGGGAGAGATGGAAGGGACTGGGCACATTTGGGAATTTTGGAGGTAGAGCTGGATTTTCAATCACAACACTTATACATTTATACTATAATTATTTACTCTTTGAGAAAAACTGGGACTAAAATTTCCATAAGGGAGATTGTTTAAGAAATTACTGACAATACAATAAGCCAGCAGGTAGCTTTTCTTATGAACAGATTATGTGGAAGAAGTCAAAGAGGTGACTCAAGGATGAGCTCCAGCTTTTGGATTGGTAGCTCCATGGAAAATGGTATCAGTTCTGATACTGGGAAATAAAAGAAGAGTACATTTTAATCCATCTTTTTGATTACTTAAGATACACTGCAAGCAATAAAACTATGGATTTAAAATAAAAGAATTGAGGGAACAGAAGACAGCAGAAATTAGCTAGACAGCAATTCCCAATCTCTTCACAACACAGAGAACAGGCAGTGAAGGAAAAGCAGAATTGGGAGGTGAGTGACAAAATAAATGCTCTAAGACTCAACATTACAAATCCTGAGACCTGGAAAGACTTGAAGATTAGTTACTAGAGTAGAAAATAAGTGCAGAGTTCTCTAATCCTGAACCTGAACCAGGGTAGGGAGAAGGGGGAGGGGCAACAGAGACAGAAAGATGGAATGGAAAACTCTTAAGCTCACCCACTTAAAATCATTGAAAAGGCAGACCAAAGTTACCAAATTTTGTGGGAAGGCACAGCAGAGTCCCTGAAGCAGATCAAACAGCTTAAAATGAACTTGTGAAAAGAAAGTTGAACTGGGGTCTGCAGCCACTTTGTGGAGCCCTTATTAGTCACCCCTTTAAATCAACATGACATCTTCCCATGTCCAGACAGCTGCAAATTAAATGAGAGGAAAGGTCTCTGCAGTGGGATCTCTTGAGAATTCAGCTAAAAAGAATTTCTAAGGAAATGCTCCTAGCCCCAAATCACTGAATCCCACTCCCCCTCACTGCAAACAAGGGGAGATGGTGGAGACATCCTATGAGGGGAAGTGCCATTAACTCAGCACTCTACTCAGCCTCTGTGACCCAGGCAAAGGTGAAAAGCACAGCTTCCATGGGACCCAGACAGTGATGGAGCAGCAATGCCGCTTTGGCCCCAGTAGAGAAAAGCAGATCCATCCAGAATGCACCAGCCCCAATCACTGACACTGGGGAAAGCCACTATAAGAAGCCTAGGGACAGTACCATTGATCATGCGCCAGACTGGAAGAAAGCTGCCTGAATATCTAGTGACAGAGAGATCCGGATCCCAAATGGTACAGCCAGGGGCAGAAGGCTGCAAGGAGAAATTCCTGAATACCCCTGGAAACTTAAGTGGAAAGCAGCTGCAAAAATAGCCAGATGGAGGTCAGTTAAGATAGAAAATTGCCTGATCCAAGGCAGCAGCAAGTAAATGTTCCTAGTTTTACCTGGCTTTCAGCCCAACCCAAGGTTATAACTGGAGAGTGAAAGGGCATTGTTCAGACACTGGCTGGACCTTACATCAGAGTCAACAGAGGGAAATGACACACATCGTTTTACAACCTGGAGCAGTAGAAACCAGAATCCAGGTGAACCACCTGAGTCCCTTTGCTATAGTACCTCAGAGACTAGTGTCAGCTGGGGGAATGCTTCTATACCACAGAATATTCATGGAAAAACTACAACCAAAGATCTTGCACTCACTAACAGCCACAAGGCTCTACACCACCATGAAAAGGATCCTGGATAGGGGAACAAGCACACAATGACCCACAGCAACCACAGGAATACTCCACAGCCTGCATTCTGAACTCCTGCACATAACAGAAATAACCAAGCCACAACAGTGTACCCTCAAGCAGTCAGCTGCAGATCCCTGAGCTAAAAAACCATAACCACCTGGTTGGAGGTCTATAGCAACTAGGGAAGTGGTTCCTGTGCCCCAGCAACTCTGGAAGGATTCACAGTCCAAAAACGATGGACATCTACTAAATATCCAAACGCCAATGAAATCCAAACCAAGATTCAACAAAAATTTTCTTCACCTTGGCACGGCTTACTATAAATAACTTCAGTGTTGACTTTGGTCATACAAATCACTCTTTGAGTTGATCAATAGTTGTTACTCTAATTGTACCTTCAAACCATTTGAATGTATTTCATCTAATGGTTTAAAGCATTAATTGGAATCAGGCTTTCTCTCTTTGTTTTCCTAGCTCTGGTTTATACCTGCTCCTCTTACCCACTACTTACATTATCAGCTACTACCTCAAATACCCACCATCCATCCATTTCTCCTTCTACACTGTGGTGCATATTATTATTTTCTATTTTTTCCTCTCTATTTCTCTTTCTTTCTTTCTTTTTCCCTTCTCCTTTTGGCCCAACTTTCTTCTTTCCCCTATTTTAGTACTCGTTTAAGGTTATTGGAATTTTACTAAATTTAATAATTAATTTTTTACCTATTCCAGAACTTTATAAGATTATATCTGGATTAGAGGAAATGTAAAGAAAAATATCAGCAAGCTTTTTGTTTCTCATATAGCTGAATAGTATGAGGCTTGGCTCTGAAGTGACTGTAGTAAACAGGGTTCAGTGGCACCTCTCAAAGTGGTGCTGATATTGAGATCAGCAAAGGTCACACTTTGATTTAAAGACAATATCTGGATTAAGCCAGGGCTCTTAAAAGAGAGAAACTCATAAAGTAGTTCCTTACTTAAAAGAAGAAGAGAGAACTATTCACAATAGATGGGTAAACATGCAAACAATTTTAAAAAGCAAGGGAACAAGCCATCCCAAATAACTAACTCCATTGACACCACAGTGAAAGAAATGTCAGAGAAAAAAAAAGTTCATAGTTACAATGTTCTTTGAGCTTAAAGAAGATGTAAGGAGACTGGGGCTGTGGCTCAGTGGTAGAGCCTTGCCTAGCATGTGTGAGGCACTGAGTTCGATCCTCAGCACCACATAAAAATAAACAAAATAAAAGCATTCTGTCCATCTACAACTACAAAAAAAATTTTTTTAAATAAAAAAATAAAGATGTAAGGAGTGAAATTAGAGGGAAGATACAGAAAGTGAAAGACCACTTCAATAAAAAGAGATTCTGAAAAACAACCCAACAAAAACCCAGAAAATAAAGACTCAAAAAACAAATTAAAATTTCAATGGAAACCACCACAAAGATGGGAAGTTATATTTCATGTATGTATGATTATGTCAAAATACATTCTACTGTCATGTGTAAGTAAAAATAATAAAAAATTTCAATGGAAAGCATTACCAATAGATTAGAACACTCTGAAGATAGATTTTCAAGCCTTGAAGACAAAGTACATAATCTTGAAAATAAAGCGAGGCCAAATTTAAGAATTACTGGGGTAAAGGAAGGCTCCAATCTTTTCAATGAAATAACAGCAGAAAATTTTCCAAACCTTAAGAATAAGATGAAATTCAGATACAAGAGGCATTTATGACTACAAATATACAAATTCACAATAGATCCACTCCAAGACATATTATAATGAAAATGCCTAACATACAGAATAAGAATAAAATTTTAAAAGCTGCAAGAGATAAATGGCTGGTTACCAATCCAGATTTCAACTGACTTCTCAACCCAGATCTTATAAGCCAGGAAGGCTTGGAATAATGTATATCAAGCTCTGAAAGAAAATGGATGCCAATGATTCTATACCTAGCAAAATTAAGCTTCAGAAGTGAAAATGGAGAAAGAAAAAAAAAACCTTCTATGATTTGTAGAAACTAAAAAAAATCATTCCAAATGCCAGAAAACAAAAATCATTTCTCCATAATGACACTGAATGAAAATAGTCGAAACTCTCCAATCAAAAGACACAGATTGTCAGTTGGATTAAAAAACAAAATCCAACAGTATGTTGTCTGCAAGAGACTCACTCACAGGTAGACATCCACAAGAATCAAGGTAAAAGGATGGGAAAAAAAATACCATTCACTTGAGACTCATACACAAACAGGGCTACCTATTCTCAGATAAAGTGGACTTCAAGCCAAAGTTAATCAGAAGAAACAAAAATGTTCACTTTAATTAAGGGAATCACACAAGAATAAGATATAATGATTGTAAATATTTATGACTCAATAGTACATTGATATACATAAAACAAACTTTCTCAATATTACTAATCAAATAGATGACAATACAAAAATAATGGGTGACTTTAACATACCTCTCTAACCACTAGATGGATCAGCCAGACATAAACTAAGATTCTGCAGAACTAAAAAACACACAAAAAAGTATGGATCTAACAGAAACCTGTAGAATATTCACCCATCAACAAATGAATTCACTTTCTTCTCAGCAGCACATGGGACATTTTCTAAAATATGCCATATTTTAGGTCATAAAACAAATCTTAGCAAATATAACAAACAGAGATACTACCCTTGCATTCAATCAGATCATAATGGAATGAAATTAAGAATCAATGATAAGATAAAAAACAGAAATCACTCTGACACCTGGAGATTAAATAATACATTTCTGAATGATGAATGGGTATCAGAAGAAATTAGGGGAGAAATAAAATACTTCCTAGAAGTAAATGAGAACAGTGAAACAACATATCAAGATCTCTAGGACAGTGTTAAGATAGTTCTAAGAGGAAACTTCATAGCATTGAGCTAGTACATCAAAAAAATAGAAAGATACCAAATAAATAATCTAACATTACATCTCAAGGTCCTAGAAAAAGAGAAGAAAACCAACACCAAAATCCATACAAGATAGGAAATAATTAAAATTAGAGCAACAATCAATGAATTTGAGAATTTAAAAAAATACCGAAGATCAATGACATAAGAAGTTGGTTTTTTGAAATGGTAAACAAGACTAATTAAATCCTTAGCCAAATTAATCAAAAGAAAGAGAGAAAACACTCAAATTAACAAAATTAGAGATAGAAAAGGAAATATCATCACAATACCACTGAAATCCGGATGATAATCAGAAACTATTTTGAAAATTTATACTCCAATACCAATAAGCTACAAAATCTTGAAGATACTAACAAATTCCTAGAGACATATGCCCTACCCAAATTGAACCATGAAGATATAGAAGAATTACACTGATGAATATCAAGTAATGAAATTGAAGTAGCTATCAAAAGATGAACAATAAAGAAAAACCCAGGACCAGAGGAATTCTCAGCTGAGTTCTACCAAACCTTTAAAGAAGAACTAATATAATGCTCCTCAAATTTTTCCATGAAATAGAAAAGGAGGGAACACTGTCAAACTCATTCTACAAAGCCAGTATCACTCTGATATCAAACCCAGACAAACACATATCAAGGAATGAAAACTTTAGACCAATATCCTTTTGCAACTGAAGTATTACTCAGGCATAAATAAAGAAGAATGAAACTATGGCATTTACCAGAAAATGGATGAGGTTGATAGTCTCTACTATTAATGCTAAGTGAAATAAGTCAATCCCCCAAAGTCAAAGGTTGAATGTTTTTTCTGATATGCAGGGGCTAATCCAAAGTAAGGGGATGGGGGAGAAAGAAAAAAGAAAAAATGGGAGGGAGTGAGGGAGAGAGGGACAGGCGGAGAAAGGAGAAAACTATTAAAGATCAGTAGAAGAGATGAAGGGAACTGAGCAGAATGAAGGAGAAATAGGAAAAGGGAAGAACATTGGAATGAATCTGACTGAACTTCTCTATGTACATACATAAATATAGCACAGGGTATATCAAGTATATCCACAAGACACTAATTTTTAAAACACTATAAATAAATTACAGAAAGATTAGTAGAGGGAAAAGAACAAGGGAATGGAAAAAGTGCTACTGATGGAATTAGAGGCAAATCATTCCATGCTTTTGTGAGTGTGTCAAAATGTATCCTAAGGTTATATATAACTAAAAAAAATTAATTTAAAATGATCAAATTGTAGTAAAGTTGATATACTGTGGAAAATGATAATGATTGTCAATACAGTTCTGGTAAAGATGAGTTAGGAGTTCGAGCAAATGTTTCCATACATGTGAAAGAGAAAAATACACAATTTCCTGATTATTTTATTGGTTGAAGAAATATGTGATTTAAGTATATATTAATGCTGCTATCAGTATTCTTATAAAAAATAAAAACATGTAAATAATAGAATGTATTTTATAAGAAAGTTTTTGTTTCCTTGACTAAAAAGGGAAAGTGCAATAATTTCAAGAAAATTAAGAAAACTATAAAAATGAATAGTTTACCCATAAGCATATCACGCAAATCAATCCCTGTGACATATGGGACTCAGCTCACCAGAATTTTCCATATATAAAAGTATCACTTTTATTTAAAAAATAAAAATGTGCTGGGTGCAATGGCACATGCCTATTAATCCTAGCAGCTTGGGAGGCTGAGGCAGTAGGTCTACAAGTTCAAAGCCATCTGGGCAACTTGGTAAGACCCAGTCTCAAAATTCAAAAAATGAAAAGGGGTGGGGTTGAAACTAAGCTTTCCTCACTTCATTTAAAAACCTGGGCTTCTCTCCATGTGTCAGTAGTGTAAATTGACACTAATATTTTAATGACTACAAAAAATGTCCAAAGTATGAACTTATCATCACTTAATAGATCCCTGTTACTAAACAACTTTTGCACCAGTAATCCCTTGTGTTATAACACACATTCTTTTACACATCTTTGCAATTTGATATACTTACAGAATTTTTTTCTTAAGATAAATTTAGAGGGCTGGTGTTGTGACTCAGTGATACAGTGCTTACCTATCATGAGTGAGGCACTGGGTTCAATTTTCAGCACCACACATAAATACACAAAATAAAATCCACTGACAACTAAAAAAATATTTTTAAAAAAGAGATAAATTTAGAAATGCTGAATTGATTTTAATGAAACTAAACCATCCTCCAGTAAAATTGTACCAATCAAAATCCCATTAAAGGTACTGTTTATCACTCAGAACATTAGCAAATCACTGGAAATATATTTCTTAATGCTTGGTAACTTAATAATGGAAAAATGGCATCCTGTTACTTTAGTTTGAATTTCATTAATTATGATGAATAGTTTTTCAAAAGATCCTTTATGGACTGCGGATTCACATTTCTTGAATGTTCAATCACAATGCTCATACTACAATTATTTACTCCTTGAGCATTTTTCTCTTTATATTATACCTTTACATTCTAAAGCTATCTCAGCACTATCAAAAGTAGGTAAAAACTGGAAACAGGGGCTGGGGATGTGGCTCAAGCGGTAATGCGCTCACCTGGCCACTGGGTTCGATCCTCAGCACCACATAAAAAATAAAGATGTTGTGTCCACCGAAAACTGAAAAATAAATATTAAAAAAAAACCTCTCTCTTCTCTCTCTCTTTAAAAACAAACAAACAAACAAACAAACAAAAAACTGGAAACAACTTTTCAGTTGGAAGACCGCTTCATATAGCTTAACAATACAAAAAGCCTTTCAATGAAGTAGTCGGTGGGATGTGGCAGAGTATTTATTGAGAACTGTATTTACTGAGAACTGAATAACTGAAGGACAATCACAATTTAAAACACTCTCAAGAATAATATGTACAATCACTCTGTTGCTGTCTCTCATGTATAAATACTCAAATATTCATAGTGTGAATGAAAATCAGTAAAATATTAACAGTAGTTGATCACGGCTGATAAAAATTGCAGGTGAGTCTCCTTTTTTTTGCTCTCCTTCCCCTTCTTCCTCCCTCTCTCCTTTTACAATATCATGTATAATTTATATGAATGAAATATAATAGTTTTTTTAAGTGCTTGAAAAAGTACACAATTTGATAGTGTAGATTTCTTTGCCAATCAGAATGTTCACAGCCAAATCTAAACCTAATCTATAACTACCACTCTGGTCCTTACAACAAATGAATTTATTTTCTAGGCTTCTGCATGAATTTTTACTTTATTATATAATTATTATTGTAGTAATTTCTTCCAAATTGTTGGTGGGATGTGGCAGAGTACATGTAGTAGAAACAAATATCCCTAAAAAAAAGAACATGAATCTTCAAAGTAAAGGGCCCAGGTAGTGCCAAGTAACACTAAAAAAAAAATTAATTTGATGAAACCTGACAAATTTTTTAAATTCCAAAGATAAAGAAGATATCCTGTAAGACTCCAGACAGAAAACAGAAAAAGAAAAAAGTGGTAACATTATCTATATACCAACAGGAGAATAGAATCAGACTGAGAACTTCTTGTATCAACAAACTCAATGACCAAAGACAGTGGACTCACCTGATGGGGGGACAAACACCTGATGCCAGAATGCTAGCTCCAAAAGACAATTCCCAAAAAGGAAAAAAAAAAAAAGGAACTGATTTTTAGACATATACAAATTGCACACATGAATCTCTGAAAAATAATTTATTCTTGAAAATATTCTAGTCAAACCAAAGAGAAAAACATTCATGAATGAAAACATGAGACTGAACTGATACAGAAAGGCCATTTATTGCCAGCAAGAAAAATAAATTCTGGATAAGCTCAAGACAGCAATCCTCTGGTGCCAGAAACAAAGACAAAATTCAAAGCAGAACAGAATGTGGGAGCTTATGATGCAGCAATGCATGGAGAGTTTTAGAGACTCCGCAATATGTCCCAGGGGCCAGAATGTAGGACATATTTTGAAAATTTTCACAGAAAAAAGAATGGCATGATGAGCATTTACAAGTCTCCTGCTTAAACTCCATTATTGCCACCATTTTGAGTTTCTCTCAACACATGCTTTCTTTTCTCATTTCTTATTGTTGCACCATGCGTAATAAGTAGCAGAGAAAAAAAAATCAAAGCAAAGCCCAAGATGAAATAATAAAAGAACACTAAAGTAAAATAATTTAATAATCGAGTAAAAGCAAGGAAAAAGATGGAAGAGAAAATAACTATAAACAGCTGGGCATGATGGTGCACTTCTGTAATCCAGCAAATTGGGAGGCTGAGGTAGGAGGATCACGGGTTTGAGGCCAGCCTCAGCAACTAAGTGAGGCTCTAAGCAATTCAGTGAGCTCAAAATAAAAAATAAAAAGGGCTAAGGATGTGGCTCAGTGGTAATGCACCTCTGGATTCAATCCCAGAATAATAATAATAACAACAACAACATTTACATACTACACATTACATTACATATTCTGCAAATTATAAGACACACTTGACAAAAGAGCTACTCATACTGGGAGAATTAATTCCTCTCTCTCTGAACCTAATATATCAAGTAATTAAAAATGTGCAAGGGGATATGCTGTTCCCAGCATTTTCCACCTGGCCTGGCACATTGAGGAGGCCCCTGCCAGTGTCTCCTACACACAGCCTTTTCACTGTGCCTGGGCAGCTGAAAACGCCATGCCCATTTCCAAATTATCCCGTCACTCACCTAGACATGTACTTTGAGGTACTCCATTTCTCACTGCCTGGGGATATTCTGCTTACTCTAACTGGGAGATGACTTTTGGTTTGGAAAATGCAATCCCTGTTCATTAAGAAGAAGACATGAGTGGCCATCCTGGAATAAAGTACCAGCTCTGCAGGCACTGGAGAAGAGGGATAGTGTAAGAAGGAGGTCTTGTTCAGGGAGGGGCTTTGGCTCCTAGTGGATGGTCAGGATCAAAGAAGGCAATGCACTCTTCTCAGCTGTAGCATTTTATGGGACCCAAGGGAACAGAGGGGGCGGTGTTGGGGAGAGAAGGAAATAGGAAAAGCATAGAGAAGACATAACTCAGTCAAGCTCAGACATCTCTGTATAGCCAAGAGGAATAGTAGCTATCACTCTGAACCCATGGCGGGGTGAGGAGAGGGCCTGTACCTGGCCAAGCCCTTCAAATATCCTCCTTGAAGGGGGACTCTGCATCCCATGGACAACTCCTTACCCAGTGAGACCAGGTTGCTGTAGTTCTCCAGCATCACTTCCCGATACAAGGTTCTCTGGGCAGAATCCAGGTGCAACCACTCATCCTGGCTGAAGAGCACGGCCACATCCCTGAATGTCACAGACTCCTGGAACAGCAAACCCATTTCTACTCACTCATGATCACCCCTGGATGGAATAACTGAGAAACAACCCTATCACAACTCAGGATTCTAAGGATTTCAAGTAAAGCAAGTATTTCTGGATAATTTGGCTTTGTTACTGAGCACTTATTTATCATGTGCTTGCTTACTGTAAGTGACATATTGCACCCTCGGAAAGCTTAATCACAGCAGCCAAACAGAAGCATGCTTGAAATCATGAAACAAAATCAAAATAACAGACACAGAACTTTACACTTGGAAATGTACAATTACCTAGGCCAAACTCTCACCTTACAGGTGACACACAAGAAGATTTTAGAAGGAGGTTCTAGTACTTTCACTTGGGGAGGACTAGATAGGAGACCTCTGGGCTTGCCTTAGAACACAGTTCGGTTGGTCCCAGTGATGGATTCTGTCATCACCATGGCCCACCTCTGTGTCCTGTGGGAGAGGACATTAATATTCACAGTGGGAGAGGCTCTGAGAATGCCCTGGGCAAGGCTTTACCAGGAGAGTGCCAAGGGTGGTAGTCTGCATAACCTTCAACAAAAAGCCAGGGAAGAGGGCTGTGATCAGGATTTCCCATCCACACCTCAGAAGCCTTTGCTCCTCTATCCCACTGCCACCTACCAGACAAGTCATCACTCTGAACTAGTGGCTCTTTCTTTTCTTTTTCAGAATATTTTTATAGATCTATTTTTAATAACACATATTAATTGTACATGTTAATGGGATTCACTGTGATATTTCCATACATGCATATAGAAAATGAGGAAAGATCAATAAGCAAGAAAACATGGAGTGTTAATCTCATTTTCTGCCACCAGAAAAAGTTTAACTTTTTGCTGCATGTCCTTTCAGACTTTTTACATTCAAACAAAAATCCAAATCACATTATGAGAAACAGCATTCTAGTCAATATTCTTACTTGCTGTCTAATATTTCACTACATGGATAAACTAGTTTGTTTAATCTTGAGGTGGATGTTTAGGTTGTTTCCACTTTTGTAATACTCTACAAATGATAGGTTGACCCTCCGTGTACAGCATCAGAAATGTGTACAAAGCTTTTTTCCTTAGCGTATATTTCTACAGCATAAGCGCTAGGTCACAATTCATTTTCTTCTCACCATCCCCAAGGTGAACCCAAGCAGATCACAAGGTCAGACACCTTCCCTGACCCAGAAAGGCAAAAGAAAATTAAAAAGAAGTGACTTGTTTCTCCCCATTGGAAACATGGGAATATACATTTACTCCTATTCCTTTTTTTTCAGAATTTATCTTTTTTCAAACATATGTAAACTTTTTAGTGGTTAACTAAGTCACTTGCCAGTCTCACAAATGAGAAAACTTCCCTCAAGGAACTAACAGCTCTTTGAGTATAATCATCAAGACATATACTAAAATAATGTAATGGAAGGTCATTAGGCTGAGAGGGCTCCAACACCCTGGGTTCCTAATGAAAAGAAACTTAAGCTCAGCCAATCAGAAGCACCACCTGTGTATTAATTACATCATCAGGAACTCTGCATGGAGACAGTCCAACTTTCACCAAATAATTTCTTTGCTCTACTTCTGCAGTGACCCTATAAAAGCTTTCTCCTCTTTCTCCTTTGGGTGGATCACAGAACCCTTCCAGCCTGCAGTTTGCTCAAATAAACTCTTTAAAATTGAAATGCGCCAACATTTATCTTTCAACAAAGATAAAGGCTAATTTCCCAGTTTCTGGGGAGGAGATGGGCCTAACTTATCATTTAAGTCTAAACTGTAGAAACTACCTATTTCATTGGGTTGTATCCTCTTATTCTATGTAAGGTGAGCTTCTTGAAACCTCTTCTTAGAGTACATATGATGTACATAACAATTTGGTTTCTGATTATAAAAATAATTACCTTTTTTCTCTTCTACTTTTGTGGAGAAGTTTTCTGTGTTGGGAGAATTTTCTTTTTAAATATATATCTCCTCAAATCCATTAATAATACAGAGTAAGTGCTCTCAAAGTGCAGAGAAAGAAAGAAATTCCTACAAAGGATACTTTCCACCTCAAGGGAATGTAATCCCAAACCACTGCCCAAGCTTTGATTTCTTCTGGATGCCTTCCATTCACCAACTATACAAGCCTGGTCTTGCCCAATGCTAGGAAGCTGCCCTGGCTACACCTGCTGACAAGGAGGTTTCTTTCTTCAATCTTTCTAGGAGTCACCTGGACTCTTACTACATATAGTAGTTTCTTAGTATCCAAGACTCCTGCAGATACCAATATCTGAGGACACTTAAACTCTTTATATAAAGTGGCCCTTATGTAAAATGGTATAGTATATAACCTATAAACATCCTCCAATATACTTTAAATCATATCTCAATTACTTATAATGCCTAATACAATGTAAATCGTTATTATAATGTATTGTTTACGGAATGACAAAAATAAAGTCTGGCCAAGTTCAATACAAGCACACTTTTATTTTTTCCCAAATATTTTTGATCTGTGGTTGGTTGAGTCCCTATATGTAGAACCCACAGATATGGAGGGTCCACTGTACTCTCATACATTGGTTGTCTTAGGTTCCAAAGACCATGACTCTCCTCTTTGAATCCTTAGTAAGGGAATTATTTGACACAGCAATGTGTTTATGCTCCATCATACCTGGATCCCTCACAAAGCTCTGGCTGTGGCAATGGCATGGGATGGACTCCCATTCAATTTCTAGTCAATAAGTACTTAGCTATTAACTGGAGACTGCACCATCAGACTGGCCTGAAAAAAGGAAACACCTTTCTTTCTAGCACCTAACCTACCATGCCCTCTGGTCCCTCCAGGGGCTCTACTGTCTAGAGAAACTCAACAATGAATGAAACAAATAGGCTATCTATAAATCCTTAAGGCAGTTCAAGAAAGAAGCCTCCTTCACTCACCTGAATCTGTGCTGGCAGCAAACTCCTGGCCATTTCTCCCTCCCTGCTGGGGAAGGCACCTGAAACAGAGAAAGAAGCTGTGAGGACTATTCACCCTGCATGCACTCTGCCCTCATTAAGACAGACCAGATTAGAAACCTCCACCAGAACAGAACTTCCAGCCTTAATGGTTTAATGGTATCAGCAGATCCAAGCCAAAAGGGCCCTGAGCATGGCCACCAAAGCCAAAAGTGGGCAAAAAGCGTACTCCAAGTTACTGGGCCTTTCTGCCAGTCATTGTGAATAAAGATGAAACAAGCTAAGGGATTAAAACCGTATGATATTCAATAACAAAGTAAAGGGCACAGTGACACATGGCTCACAGGTGTTAAAGTGAAAAGACATTAACATTTCACACATTGGCATTTGGATATTACTTGAGGTGAAAAATAGCATCGGAAGAATGGATACCGTTTTTCAGAAACAATCAACTAAAAATTAGTCCTCTCTTATTTTCCTTTTAGAAATTCTACTTCTTTTATCAAAAAGAGTTACCAAGTTGCCTAAATGCAAAAGACATTAGAACTGACCTTTTATGATGGATACATTCTAAGAATTAAAAGCATGCTATTTTAAAATAGTGCAATAACTATTACATCAATAGAGTTTAGAAATGATTTTCCTCTTCACTGAATTGATCCACCCATCCTCATCCCTCAATGCACACAAGGGCTCAAGGGGTACATCACCGGCTAGAAATGAATTGAAACTTTAGAGAAAAGGGGATGGGGGTATATAACTCAATGATACAGTGCGTTATGTGTGAAGCCCTGGGTTCCACCCCCACAATCCCGACCCCCAAAAATCAAATTAAAAATTTAGAGGAAAAAGAAAGTAACTTAGCAAATGGACAAAATTAACTTTAAAAAAAAATGTACTTTAAAAAAATATATAGTTAAATCACTCTAGGAGTCACTGTAGAAAAATACTGCCAAACGAGTAAAACTGACAAAAACGAAGTTTAAACTCTGGAGGATGGGGGTGGGAGATGTTAAATCAACAATCGCTGACTGCTGAAAACCGCCCGGGGACTCACCAACCCTGAATAGGAAGGACACAGTTCCCTAAAGTCTCTTTTCTGGGGACTACTTGTCCAGGAGAATGGCCTGAGAATGGCCCAGAGGTTAAGTGGTGTCACGCAGTCTTCCGGCCTCCCCGGGAGGACCTTCCCAGGCAACGCCCCCTGCCCGAGTCCTGTTCACCTGCCGAGGCCGCAATTGGGACGCGTAGGGTTCACCCGCGACCCGCCCTCTGTCCTAGCCGCACCAAGGAAGCCCTGCGCCCTGGGCCCGCCCTCGCTGGCAGCTTGTACCTTAGTCCACCTGGGTGGGGACGCCAAGCTGCACACCGACCTGGAAGCGAGAACACCTAACACAGAGACATTTCTCCCCGCCACCGCCAAACCACCAGTACCACTGCGCATGCGCAAGGGAGAGCCAACGGGTTTCCCTTTCTGAACAGCAGCGCTTTTCCTTTCAGACTACATTTCCCAGAAGGTCTCCGCGACACACCTTTTCTACGGTGTCTGAGAAGGAAACAATGGAATCCGTGCTAGTGAAAGCGACCTGGCTGGGGTCACAGAAGGCTGAAGCCTTGTCTTTCATTTAGACCACCTCACTTCCTTTATGCACTCAATGTATTCGTAATTATAATGACAATAATATTAAAGAAAGAAAATGTGGAAGTTACTACTGATTATCCTTAGGAGATAAGAGGGCTGTTAAAGTCAATTTTCTGTCCCCCATCCCGCCCCAGTACTGGAAATTGAACCAATGGTGCCTCTACTGCTGAGCTTCATCTCCATGCCTTATTATTTTTTTTTTTCCTTCCTTTTTCTTTAGAGACAGGGTCACGCTAACTTGTTGACGCTGGCCTTGAACTTGTGATTCTCCTGCCTCAGCCTGCCAAGTAAGTGGGCTTATAAGACATGCGCCACCACTCCCAGCTCCACCTTTTTTTAAAAAAAACTAAAAAAGGTTAAATTTTAGATATATAGGTATCACATAAATACATACACATACTTAATGAATAAGAATGATTGCTTTCCCTCTCAAATCAGGAACAAGGAAAGAATGTCTACTTTTACCACTTCCATTCCGCATTCTTTTGATGTAACCATTGGGATAAGGCAATAAAAAGCATCTGAGCAGGGCGGCGCAGGCCTGTAATCCCAGTGGCTAGGGAGGCTAAGGTAGGAGGATCTGAATTCAAAGACAGCCTCAGCATTTTAGCAACTTGGTAAAACCCTGTCTTTAAATAAAATATTAAAAGGGCTGAGGATGAGACTCAATGGTTAAGTGCCCCTGAGTTCTATTCCTGGTTTCAAACGAAACAAAAACTTTTAGAAAAAAATGAGAAAAATCTTTGTGATTTTGCATTAAGAGTTCTTAAATGCAACAGCAAAAGCCTGATCCAAAAAAAAAATTTTTTTTTAAATGATAACTGAGACTCATTAAAATTAACACCAACTCATTCAATGATACTTTTAGGGAGTGAAACTGAAGCCAGAATTAACAGGCAGTCAGTATAGATAGGTACATCTAGTCAGGTCTTATCAAAGAGTCCAATTTGAGTGAATCTGAGAAGTTGGAAACTGTCCCTAAGGGATTGAAATGCCTTCAGAACCCTTCCTCCACCCTTATCAGGATAATCTGCCCCAGCTCCAACCTGCTAAAGTAACCTGTCCAAGGGAGTTGTAAAAGTTGTTATTTAATGCTTCCTGAGCCTGGCCTCTTTCCCAGATCACTCCACCTTGGCCCCTGAAGCCCATCTGCTTCTCACCCTTTGGCCATCCCACTGAGCATCTGCTGGGCCTAGTCACAAGGAGAGAGATAAGGGGAAGAGAACAGGAAAACAAAGAAAGCCTAGGACATATAAAAAGGCAAAATAATCTCACTCTTTGGGATAGGCCCCCTTCTCCCTCCTGGGAGAAGTCTATGCTATGTTACCCTTTTTTAAATAAACCCTGCTTTATATGCTTGCCTCAGTGTGCTTTTCTAATGTTATACTTCAACATGTGAGGAAGCAAAACTCATTACCAATAACCATCAGTATCAAAACAATCAGCCACAGCCTTGAAGAAATATAATAATATATTTGATAAAGGATTCATATCCAGATTGTATAAAGAACTCTCCAAAACCTACACCAAAAGGAACCCCAAACAATGTAATTTTATTTTTATTTTGTATTTGTTCTTTTTAGATACACATAATAGTAGAGTGTATTTTGACCTATTATAAATACATGGAATATAACTTATTCTAATTGGAATCGCATCCTGTGGTTGTACATGATGTGGAGTTTCACCAGTGATGTATGCATATATGAACATAGGAAAGTTAGGTCCAATTCATTCTACTTTCTTTCCTATTCCCACCGCTCCCTTCCCTTCATTCCCCTATGTCTAATCCACTGAACTTCTATTCTTCCCGCCATCTCCCTAATTATGTGTTAGCATCTGCATATCAGAGAGGACATTTGAATTTTGTGTTTTGGGGGGATTGGCTTACTTAGCATGATAGTCTCAAGTTCCATCCATTTACTGGCAAAAATCATAAAGTCATTCTTTTTTATAGTTGTGTAATAGTCTGTTGTGTATTTATACCTCTTTTCTTTATTCATTTATCTGTTGAAGGACATCTAGGTTGGTACCATAGCTTAGCTATTGTGAAGAGCTGCTATGAACATTGATGTGGCTGGGTCACTGATTTTAAGTCCTTTGGGTATATACCAAGAAGTGAGATAACTGGGTCAAATGGTGGTTCCATTTCAAGTTTTCTGAGGAATCTCCATACTGCTTTCCAGTGGGGTTGCACCAATTTGCAGTCATACTAGCAATGTATTATTATACCTTTTTCCCCTCATCCTCACCAACATTTATCATTTCTTGTGTTCTTGATAATTGCCATTCTGACTGGAGTGAGATGGAATTTCAGTGTAGTTTTAATTTGCATTTCTCTAATAGCTAGAGATGTTGTACAGTTTTTCATATATTTATTGACCATTCATATTTCTTCTTCTGTGAGGTGTGTGTTTCAATTCCTTAGCCCATTTATTGATTGGGTTATTTGGGGTTTTTTTTTTTTTGGTGTTAAGTTTTTGAGTTCTTTATATATCCTGAAGATTAATGATCTATCTGAGATACAGGTAGCAAATATTTTCTCTCATTCTGTAGGATCTCTCTTCATGTTCTTGATTATTTCCTTTGCTGTGAGGAAGCTTTTTACTTTGACTCCATCCCATTTATTGATTCTTGATTTTTTTTACTTCTTTTTTTAAAATGTTTTTTAGTTGTAGATGGACACAATATCTTTGTTTTATTTTTATGTGGTGCTGAGGATCAAACCCAGTACCTCAAGTGTGCTAGGTGAGCTCTCTACCACTGAATACAACCCCAGCCCTTGATTTCACTTCTTGTACTTTAGGAGTCTTATTGAGGAAGTCAGTTCCTAAGCCAACATGATGGAAAGTTGGGCCTACATTTTATTCTAATAAGTGCAGGGTCTCTGGACTAATGCCTAGGACCTTGAACCACTTTGAGTTGAGTTTTGTGCAAGGTGAGAGACAGAGATTCAACTTCATTCATACAGATGGATTTCTGGATTTCCTAGCACCATTTGTTGAAGAGGCTGTCTTTTATTCAATTTATGTTTATGATGCCTTTGTCTAATACAAGATAACTGTATTTATGTGGGTTTGTCTCTGTGTCTTCTGTTTCACTGGTCTTCAAGTCTGTTTTGGTGCCAATACCATGCTGTTTTTGTTACTATAGCTCTATAGTATACCAAGCAATGTAATTTTAAAAATAAGCAAAAGATTTTATCAGAATACTTCATTGATGAAGAATAAGGATGGCAAACTCATAATAAGTGGGATATTATCATTAGTGAACAGAACAAAGTAAATATAAATCCAAGCTATAATAAGATACCATTATGTACCTATTGTAAGTTAAATAATACCCCCCCAAATATGTCCACACCTTAATCCCCAAAACATGCATAGGCATATTACTTTATATTACATAAATATTTTGCAGATATGATAAAATTATGATCTTGAAATGGAGAGAGGATGCAGTAATAGATTACAGTGGGAGACATTCTAAAGGACTCATGTTCAGTTTTACCCAGGTACAAATCACTACATACGAATATTTATAGATGTGTGTGCATGTGTGTTTATATGTATATTTCTTTGATCTGTCATCAAATGAGAGGGTCTAAAAGCAAAGACATCCCAATAGCAATGAGCCAACCTTGGACACAGATCTTTATGAATACCACTCTCCAATGAAAAGAGCCAAAGTTCCTTGTAATAATAGATTCTAAAACTGAGACAGAAAATACAGAAGATGAACGTGGATCAATTTGGGATGCCAGAAAGTAAAGAAGTTCTCAAAATAACAACAAAAATAAGTGATGGAGTTATGTCAAAGGGACACAGGGGTCAACTTTAAAAGTTTTTAATGACCAAATGTGGAGCAACTTAATAAAAAATTGCTTTGGTTTATAACCCCAAAGCACAAAATAAATATATATGAGTCCATACTGACATAAGTAAATACTAATTCATTAATCATTTTAACAATTAATTAACAATTTATTAATAAATGGGAAAGAAGAGACAAATCTCTCATGAAAAATATTTTTAAATAATTGGTATAGATATTATACTTTCAAGGACATAAAACAGAGCTTCCTGCTCCTTAGATGAACTGTGCTTAATGATTTTGTTTCAACAAGTACAATGCCAAGATGATTAAGGGTTACACCAACAGTTTTAAGTCCCATTAAGAGCATGTACCCTTTGATAAAATGTGATGAATATGAAAACTTATCTCCATGGGCTTTCTTCCCATGGAGGTACATCCCAATAATGCAAAAAACATCAGACAATCACAACAGAGCAGTTTTTGATAAAATATTTAACCATAATGGTCAAGTTCATCAAAAGCAAAGAAGGTATCACAACCTAAGGAAGACATTCATGATAACTGAATGTGACATGGTATCCTGAATGGTATCCCCAAACATAAAAAAGACACCAGGCAACAATGAAAGAAATATAAATACAGTTATGGACTTTAGTTAATAATACTTAATCAATATTGGTTCATTAATTATGTTGTAGGGGACGAGAATAAGCCACCATGTTAATCAATTTTTTGTTGCTATAACAAATACTTAAAATAATCAACTTATGAAGAGAAAAAGATTACTTTGGCTCAGTTTTAGAGGTTTCAGTCCATAATTAGTGAGCCCTGGTGTTTTGGACCTATGGCAAGGCAGTGCATCAGGGTGGGAGCACATGGCAGAGCAAACTACTCAATTCATGGCCAGGAAATGAAAGAAGAGGAAGTGGCCGGGATCTACTCTTAGCTTCAAGAGCACACTCCTAGTTACCCGAAGACTCCCACTAGGCCCCACCTCTTCA